TATTTTGCTAGCTGGAGTTAAAGCATGACAGCCTGTCGCAGGTGCGAGTGTGGAAGCTGCCGTGCCTACGTTGAGGGCAGGAGTTGGTGATCCCGAGGTGCCGCTGAGTAGCTGCTCTGCAGTCAGCTGTCCAGCAGCCCGCGTGGCAGCTGGCCCAGGCAGCTTCTGCTCACTGGAGCCAGTGGGACTAAGTTAACCAAATCCTGGGTAAACACAGCATTTCTGTGAATGTGAGATATGCTGCTCCTGGTTCCTGTGCTGGGGGAGCCGGGGAAGTCCTCTGCCAGCTGCAGGGAATGCTGCCCCTTCTGTAGGCTTCCCGCTGGAAGCAGTTCTTGTGGAGAGGTCTCCACCTGGGAAGGTGCCTGGAGGGCATTTGGAAGTGCTTGTGCGGCTTCTCCTGGGCTATTTGGAGGGGGTTTTCATTTTGTACATTAAAATGACACTTGTTTTATTTACTAGCTTGGAGCTTCCTGAGATACACTGCCTGTCAGTACGAGTGAGTGAGAGAATGCACCCGCCTCTTCGCCGTCGCCCCGAGATTGCCCTCTGCAGCCGAGCTGCGGTGCCCTGGGCACTTCAAAGGGCCCCACTGTACAACTGTATCGTTAAGGGGATGTTCAAGTGATCATGCAACCAATGGTCATATGACCCAGGTTTTGTTTCAAATGCAGTCTTGCTGATCAGTCTTCTAAAGCCGTAAGCCTTGATGTGTGGCCTTGGTCTAAAGTAAGTGCTGGTTGACTAATCTAAGTTACTTGGGAAGTTTTGTAAGAATTATCAGTGAAACAATGCCTTCTGGAAGATAAGCCCTCCCTTGTTAGGCAGTGACATAGCTGCCTGATTTTAAACCCCATCATCTTTTATACTTGGGCACATTGCTAAGCCTTGTAATTAGTTAAATCTGCTCCTGTAATCAAAAGCTATCCGCACACTCCACTGCTCTGTGACGGTTTCAAAGATTTACGTGATTAACTTGGCGGAGGCAGTGGGTGGCTAATTGGATAAGCTTTAATCTTCACACCACCAAAGCGAAACATGGCAAGATCAGAGGAAGGAGGAAGTTATGCTGTGTTGTGTGGGAAGGCAGTTACCAAACATGTCAAAAAGATTATCGTGACGGGCAGACCAGTTGTCATGACCCAACCTGCAAGAATAGGGCACACTATTAGGGGGGAGGGAGGGAGGGAGTGGTGCAAATTATTTCAAATTTGCTTGCCTTGGCTTTTTTTTTTTAACAGGCAGAAAGAGTTGTGCTCTTTTTACCAAGCAAAGAGCTTTATGTTCTGTTTGCTTTATTCAAGGGATTTTATCAGGTGGTGTTAACCCTAGGTTTTGTGTGCGTGCAGATTGAACTGGGGGAACTGTAATGATCTTTGCGTCTCCAGAGGCGTAACGCTTCCGTTGCGTTTCGGTCGGTGAGCCTGGGAGAGCCGTCCTCGTGAGTTAGGAGTGTGTAAAACTGTATTTCAGGTTTCTGTCTAATCAAGCCAACCTGGATAAACACATGGGAGTTAAGGGAGGTGCAGAGGGTGAGTACAGAGGAGTCCCGGCTCCTCTTGCAGATGCTGCCGGTGGCACAGTGGGCGGTCTGGGCTCCGCGCTGCGCTCCTCTTCCAGCACCATCAGGGTGGCTGAGTGAGACGCTGTGACTTAAAATAAGTACCTTCTAGTCCTGGAGCAAAAAAGCTTATTTTTATTCTTTTTTTTATTCTGACAAAGCTGTTACCTTGAGGCGAAGCCGACGGAACGTTGAAGGTTTAAGTGTTCCGAATGTGGCTGTGAATGCAGCGCAAAGGTGCAGTGCGCTGCGCACAGGCGAAGGCGTATATGGCTGTAACTTAGGGATGGCTCGAAACGCAGGTACCGAGGTATTTTTCAGCAGTGTCGGTTCATCTCACGGCCAGGAGATGTCTCTAGTTCACCACAATTCCTCAAGGAGCGCCTAGACACACGTACTGGATTTTGCTGGTCTTCAGCCCTCTCTCCGTGGAGCTGCATCACACGGTGTGTTAACTCCTGGCTCCACTGGTACTTTTGCAGAGTTCACTTCTTCTGGTACAGGGTTTTGACCACACAATGATTTGAGCCTGTGTGTACACTGTACAGCGTTTCAGTATATCTCGGGGAGGGGGCCTGCACTCCGTTAAAAAAATTTAGGTCTTAATGTAATTAAAAAATCTTGAGAATTGGACAGATCCTAAAAATGCACACTGTTCTTGTTTTGTTTGCAGAAGTGTTTGGGGAAGGAACAGGGCAAACGTAAAATGAGAATAAAACGGAGACTAAAAAAAACCAAAGCAGGAAGCAAAAACTGTTACTTCTGTCCTGCTCTTGAGGAATCAATCTTAGGATGACTCTTACCCCAAATCTGAGGTGCAGTTTTGGGTTCAAGTGTCTCACAGTTTGTCATATAATGTTTTTCTTGTAGGAGAACCAGTGGAAAGCTGAAAGGCAGAAACCAGAAATCTGGCCTTGAGGAAAAAAAAATATTTAAGTGGCATTTCATTTTACTACTTGAATTTATGTGCCCTGGACATGGAAAACTTGTTTTCCGTTGTAACCAGGGAGGTGTCTATAACGCGAACAACCTCAGGTTGTAATTCTTTTAGAAGAAACCCCATAACTTGATTACTCTTTCCTTTAGGAGTGTGTGTGCCTGGCTGCTTGTTCGTGCTGATGGCCGGGTAGGAAATGCAGAGTAACTGTGGGACTTCGTTTTGTGGTTTTTGAAACGCAGAAATGTTCCCTTTTAGGTTTGGTATGGACTGCGGAAAATTAGTAGCCTCATTTGATTAGCCTCTGATCCCTTTACTGTTGGAAGCTCTCAGGCTGTACCACAGTGTTTTAGAAGTTTGTGTTTCGATCCCATAGCAAATGGATGAACGATGTGTGTATTCCCAGTAACCCTGTTCTTCGGTAGCAGTTGCAAATGCCCTGTTTTCTGCATGCACACAGCGTTTAACAGGGGTACGTTACACAGTGTATGGTATGCGTTTCACTGCGTTGCTTAGTTGTTCACTGCAGAATTAATCCTCCCCTGCTTTACCACTTCTCCGCAGTATCATGGAGCCTGTGAGATGTGGTCGTTATTGGAGTTCATCAGATTCTTCTTGGCTAGTTTCTTCTGATTGCAGGGAATCCCATGGAGTGCAACCAACACGTACGCATCCATCTCTGGCAGCCAGTCTCTTGCAAGCACGAATTATACAGTGGGTGGGTTTTGTGTTGAAAATTACTGACTGAAGTTATTTTCAGATCTAGCCTAATGACGGGAGGGGTCAAACGAGGTGTAACCAACCCCTGGCTCTTGGAAGAACCTGAGGAAACCAGAGGGCTTGGCTTTGACGATCTCAGGCAGCAGCAGCGAAGGATCATAGAAGGTACCAGAGTCTTGCTGTTTTTTATAAGCTTCACTAGGACTCTGAGAGAAGCCCTTGCTAGAAAGAGAATAAAATAACCTGTGCTGAAGTTCTATTGTCTGGGGATGTCAAACATCATAAATCCAGGTGGTTGTTTTATGTATTTGCTGGAGCAATATTGTGCTTGCAATATTCTTAACTGGAAGCATGTTCTTAAATCAAATTTTAAAAGACATCCTTGACAGGGCATCCTTGATTTTGATCATACTCATGGTTTGGCTTTGCAGTGGAGATCTCGTGAACGGCACCACGTGTAGTATTACTGCAGTGCTTCAGGCTGGGGGGCAGCAAATGTATTGTTGAATTGGAAGGAAGCAAAAATTAACTAAATCTAAAAAAAGCCTTCAGATTTTGGCCCTCACAATCCATAAGGAATCTCTGACTTTGGAAGTGTTGGCACACCTCAACCTGAGGACATCAGGTGGTTAATGAGGTAATTTCTATGCAATTAAAGTGTTGGAAGTGATGAAATGAAGCCGGTCTCCAGATAAGGCCCTCTTCAGTCTGCGTGTGAAACATTTACAGCGACAGTAGAGGGGAATGGCATGGACTGTGTTTGGATGGTCCAGGAGAAACCTCAAGCTCCCATCTCTGACGGCACCATAGGCATCCCTTGGGGATACTGGAAGAGTTACTGGGGACCAGACCTTTGTCCGGTTGAAGGGAAGGGGATTCTGGCCGTTCCATACCATTTTTGGCTCTGGACTGCAGCCAGCTGGCTGTCCTGCTCTGTGCAACATCGCTGCTTCACAGTTTGTCAGACCACTGACAGTCCAGCACCTCTTGTTCTACTTCTTGATGACTTTGGGCAAGGGGAGCTGCACGTTTTGGTTAAGGTGCTTACTAAGGACTGCGTGGTTCCTGCGAACTGGAGTAGCAGAGGTGTTACAGATCTGAATAAAGGAGTGTCTGCAGAGCTGATGGCAACGTGTCAAACCTTAGCTGCCCCCACTGTGTCCCCTCTGTCTCAGGCTCTCTTCCATGCACTCGGTATCCTCTTCCAGCTTTAAAAATCTATTTGAATTCTTTGGTGTTTGCATCACCTGTTTGTCTTTTATTCATGTTAAAGTTTCTTGGAAAATTTAAAAAGGCTAATCAGGGATCTCTGTGTGTGCCAGAAAATCTCCTGCATTTATGATTGAGTAACAGCTGAATGTTGAATTGTTGGATTTTTTTTTTTTTTTGGGGACCCTCAGCTAAATGTCCCAGCCAGAGCAGACAAATTAATTACCCATCATTCACATTATTTTAAGAGTGCTGTTGCCCTAAGGATTCATTTTCATGTTCTGTTGATGTACTTTTCTTAATACATTTTAACTCTTGAAGCACAGAGTAGATCTTTTTCTTCACTTGCACATCTTTTATGGTACACAGCCTGGCATATCAGCATTTTTTTTCATGTCACTTTGTGGGTTTTTTTTTTTTTGGTGCAGAGCAAGATGCTGGACTCGATGCGCTTTCTTCAATCATATCCAGACAAAAGCAAATGGGGCAGGAAATTGGGAATGAGCTGGACGAACAGAATGGTAAGAACAAGATTCAGAAACTCCTTTTGCCTCATTTTATTGTGCATATGACTTACTTTTTTCAATCCTACAACTGCACTGCTTTTTGCCCAAAGTAACAATACTCTGCAGGTTTGTGTATGCACAGCTACTACAGATTCTGTCTGTTCATCACCTGGTTGTTTTATTGTCACTACACGCCCTGTTGTGCGTGTGCAGCATACAGACACTTGGTGTGTTTTTATCAAGCCTGCCTTTTGTAAGACGAGTGTGGTGATAATTTGTACATAGTACAAAATTAATCTTGTACTCGATCTTGTGCATTTTTCAGTTTTTTATGACAGTTTTTATGGTCAGCTTTTATGTGTTGCACTTGAGCATTCTTACTCTGTGTCTTTCCTTATTAACAAGGTGGAAAATCCTTGAGCAGCAATTAAAGGAGAAGTGTTGTATTGTTTGCTACAAGTGATGTGGATTTTGAAGGTTTCATGGCATTGAATGTAGGATCAAATTAAGTGCAATATTGAACCAGAATAGTACCTATTTTCTTTAAAATGAGCCAGTATCCAAATGGTGGAATTGCTTTCCCATTAAATATGCTTTGTTACTCACTTAATTGTCCGCGTGACATAAACTGTCCCTAGGAGAGCAGATCCTCTGGTCTCTCTGACTTTTTCATGTTGTACGATATGGTAATAGTTCAATTAGAGCTGTGGCACCCTGCCAGCTTTCTCCCTTGCACAAAGAGTAGAGCCATATGGTTTATCCTTGGGTAGTGTTGTACTTAACCACTGAGAAGGTAAATGTCCTTTTACTTGCTAATAAACGATATGCTTAAATCGGCTTCTTCCCGGGCCTGTGTTTTTTTTTTTCCCTTGCATTTCTCTGCATGCCTGCTCAGAGTTGGGGGGGTTCCCCTACTAACAATCACGTAACATGAAGTACTGCTTGGGAGCTCTGCTCCAACTGAGACTCAAGTAAGAGGATGGCTTTCTCATGTACGGCTAAATCCAGGAGGGATGTGAAATGTCTCAAATATGTCTTTGTTTATTAATCTTAAGATTGTTAAGAAATGGTTTATGCAGCTGGGAGAAACTGTGCTTAGTGGTCTTGTCATATTTTGATCCTCTGCCTCATGTGAGTAAAGATATTTTCAATCACAAATCTCGTTTTCATAAGTTTCTTCTATTAGCTGTTGTTTAAAAAGTCATATTAATTGCTTTTTTTTGTTCTAAATAGAAAACAGGTGGGAAGCATAAGCGTGTTTACTAATTCTCTGTGAAACCTCAGTTTCTCATCAGGAAAATAGATGATCTGTGTCCCATTTCCCTCTGCTGGGGGTAGGGCAAGGTTCCCCAAATACTTAGGTTTTTGGGACCCTGAAGGTAACGCGTATTGTACCATCGCATTTCTGTGTGACCATGCCAGACTTTTTGTAGCAATGAAGCCTTGAAACATCTGTGAAATTGGGAAGGCATTTAACCTTCCTTTTTACAAATAGTGCAAATAATGCCAGTTTTGTTTGACTTGCTTGTCTTACAGATAGTTACAAAGCTTAGAGCAAAATTCTTGATGTTTTCACGTGAGCTCTTTTTTGAGCTATAGGCAACTCTTCCCCAAAAGATGGAAACCTTCCCAAATGCTTAGGATAAAAAGTGATGAGGATCGCCTGTTGCTGACTGCGGGCCAGACCCTGGGGGAGAAGAAAGTGCCAAGTTACCTCTGCTTCTTGCTGTCCTAGAGAATAAAAACTTGACAGCCATGTAGAGTGCGTTGTTTGTAGACCTTTAAGCAGTCTGAAAAAGGTGGGAAACACTCTGACTCTTACAGACCGGGGACCAGATCACTCAGTACTTGGTTTCATCACCACTGAGCAAGTGGAACTCCCAGGTTTTCTCTGACTTTATGCAATCCTTTTTAATTTAATTTATTTTTGTGGGTACAGGGGGATATGGTTGGGTGTTTCGTTGCCACTGGCACACTGGAAAAGCTGAAATCCCTAGCAATATTTTCCAGTGGCTCCTTTCCCTTTGCACATCTTATTTTATGTCCTGTGCTTAACTATCTACAGACTTTTCTCAGGCACTCTGCCAATCTTGTCTCACTGTTACACAGTCAGTTGATGAGGATAACTGCCCTGTAATTTCCCCTTACTTGGAATCTCTTTCCTTCCTAGTGCTGAGTGATAATGGCATCGTCTGTATGGTGGGGAGGCAGGGGAAGTTCATCTTCATGAAGTGCTGCATCAGTACTCCTTTTTATATGAATCAAATTTTCCTTCAAATTGCCCGTTTCTGGGGGAAGCTTCCACTTCCCTGAGCTGCTTTGGATGTTTCCACCTTCTGAAACCAATGAGGCGCCTTGAGCTTGGTCTGGTCTTATCATAAAATATGTCTTAATTCAGAAGTAACTGGTAATATCTGATAGTTAATGAAACAGACTTTAAGGGGCTGGGTAGCTGTACTTACTTTCCAGACAACCTGTTGTTCAAGCCTGCTTTTTTCCTTCCCTGGCGGCTCTGGCTCTGTTCAGCTGAGATATTTGCACTTCCCAGCATTTTGAGGTGGCCGGAGGCATTTTCCCTTGAGTGCCAGTTGGTGTAGCTGTGCATTTGCAGATGTACAAGTATTGGAGGCATCTCGATTAATTATGCAAAGTTTACTTCTGGAGGAGAGTTGGTATGTGTAAATTCTTTTGTGTTTGTTAAATGACTAAAAAATGATTAAACTTCGCTCTTAGAGGGGCAGTTACTTGGCGGTATCTACTTTTACTTCACTGGTGGGCTGACAGGCAGTGCTGAGGAGCAGCGGTGGAGGTTTGTAAGAGGTCCCCGGCTGCGGAGGTTGCTGTGCTCTCCGGAAGAGTTGGGTGCCACCAGCCTCACTCAGCTCCACAGCCCTGCAAGGCCGGTCTTTGGGCTGAGCTTGCTCCGTAGTGAGCACACACCCGCCGTCATGGCTCAGGTGCCATCCCTCCAGCCTGCCTGGTGCACCCCTCTCGGGGCAGGGCACAGCGTGTCCCAGAAAAGCCCTTTTTCCCCACCGATCCTAAAGCGAGCCTGGGCTTGGATGGAGGTGGCTGCTTGGCAGACGTCTGCCCTGAGCGGATGAGTCCCATCTCTTGATTTCGTTGTGATGCATCCAGGTTTTAATTGGAGTCTCATGTTGTCCTGATCTCAGATTTTCAGTATAGCTGTGTCCTTGAGATTTCATGGCTCTGCTCAAAGCTGAGTGTCATTTTCAAACCTCCTGAGCATAGCATTGTACACTGATGAGCAAACTAGGAGCAGGGTACCAGGAGACATTGTTTTTTTCCAGTCTCAGGAGTCTGCTAGCAGTGGGAGAGATGGGGGATTAGAAAAAGAATTTTCCCATCATTAATTCCAAATTTGGCCCCAGAAAACTTTCTGTAATCCTTTCATCTGTTACGTAAAAAAAAGAAAAAGAAAATAGTGTAAATGGCCTCTGGCCCTGTTGATGAGGCAATCTAATCTAGTGCAATGATTTTGGAAGAATGCTTTCAGAAATTCTGAAAGCTGTTTTACCCTTATAGAGATGTTGTCTCATTGTGGCATGCTTGCATGAGAATATAGTACTCGGTGACGGATGGTAAATGTTGGTGGCTTGCAAAATTTGTAGTGTTTGGCATTTTTACCGTGTTGCTCTGTGTTTGGTATACACCGTTGAGGATGGATTCTTTTGCTCCCAGGTCCTTTAAAATCTGTGTGGGAGCATAAATACGTTCATAGATGGAAAAGCTGCAAAAGTAGACTGTTGGTTACATCTTTTTACTGGTCAAGTGAATGCTGTCTACAAGGTGAATATCCAGGATGTTCTTAGCCAAAATGGATCATTTTAAGTAAACAGTCTGTCATAATGATGCCTTAATTACATGGTTATGTAACATTTTTAATTTCTTGTCAAAGTCAAGTTTCTAAAACCAACCAAAAATACTGAAGCATTATCTATTTTTATCTTTTTTTTACTTAAATAACTTTGCAAAATGAAGGCTGCTGTGTCACCTCTGGGGGGTGGCACACGAGGCTGCAAGATGGACTTGGCTCTTTGGTGCCAGTTTCGTGGTTAAAGCCTGTGGCTTACCTACTAGACAGCTTTTATTAACCTGACGTGCTTCCATCGAAACGCAGTTCAGAGACTCCACCTGAGCCCGGAGCCCTGTTCTAGCTGTTACATGGAGAATTATTCTTGTAAAGTCAGAGAAAATGAGTGAAAGCATTCTTGGTGGTGCAAAGACTTGCTGAAAACACCGTCAGAACCTGTAGTGCAGCAGGGATGCAAAGTATCTATTATGGGGCAGTGTCCAGCCACAAGCCCATCGCTGCTGGTGCAGCTAGCCCAGTCAGTATATGTACAGCAAAGTGCTTCTCCTAAAGATTATTTTACACGGCTGTTGCATAATCAAAGAAGAACCTTGAAGTCGTTTCACGTTTCTGTTTATTAAAAACATTTTTGCTATAATACAAACTAATTAACATTGTGTATGGAATGTGTATGAGTTACGAGACAAAAGCCAGTGGGGCTGTGGATGTATTACCTCACTGTTAGGATTGGTTTGTAAATAAGAAATGATTAAAGATTAAATTTTCAATTTTACAAAATGTTCATCATCTTGTCTAAACAATATGTTTTCCTCATGTGGAGTTAACAATCCTGCACTGCTTTGACCCCCTTCCGAGATGGCTCGAGTCCACTGGTTGCTGGGACTTGAAGGTGTTCAGCATTCCTTGAGAAAGGCTGAGCACCAGCAGGTTCAGGTTTTCTAAAAACCTCTACAGAGAAGCGTATGTTTTTAATATTCAGATGAAAAATAACCATCCATAGCCTGACTGAGCTCATGCTGTGCATGTAGATTTTTATTTTGCTTCCCAAGCTTATTGTGCAGAATAGAAACGACTTCAGTTTTACTGGAGAAACGCTCTGTCTTTTATGGCGTGCTGTTCAGTTGGGGTTAACCCTTCTTAGGGGAAAAATTAACACCCCTGTTAAAACATCGCTTTTTGT